AGTGTGCATGTTTACTGAGCAGCATTAACTGCGTTCAGGAATCAGAATGGATTTTTTTTCCATTTTCATCTTCATTTTTTTTTTCCATTTTTTTTCTTTTCTTTTTTTCCTTCCCCTCCCCTTTTTCACCTTTTCCTTTTCTCCATTCCCCCATTTCCCCCCCTTTTTTTCTTTCTTTTCCCCTCCCTCCTTTTGGCTCTTCCTTCCCCCCAAAACCTTTTCTTTCTTCTTTTCCTCTTTTTTTTTTTGTTCCCTTTTTACTACTAGTAGCATTTATGTATCTACACCAAGATGGCAGCACCATAGGTGTGCAGGGCGCTCCCAGCAGCGCTGCCATGCCCGACACAGGCCCCTGTCCTGCAGCAGGAATGGGAGCAGAGTGGCTTTTTATTTTTTTTTTTTCCTTCCTGTTAATATTTTGCAGTGTTTAGCACACTTGAGCAATGCAGAAAAAGGGAAAATACCTTTTTTTTTTTTTTTTTGGTACTGTGTTCCTGCATGTATTTCCCTCACACAGTAACTTTTCCTGCTTACCTAAAAAAAAAATCCTTTTGAATTTCATGCGTCTCTGAGAGGACTCAGCTGTACTGGCTTGGGGCTCTATTACATCTCAAGAATAAAGCTACAACGGTCTTAAGCTTCAGACATGGGGATAATATATATATATATATAAAATATATATGCATACTGTCTGTGGTATTCACTATAATAAAGGGGGGATCTTGTGACTTTTCAGTTCAGTTAAATAATCAAGCGTCACACATGTAGCTGTTCTAGCTTGAGTTCATGGCATTTCCCCGCAGGGAAAAGTGGGGGAACTACTTGCAAAGCCCAAACCACGGAGAAAAGCAGGATGAGTTCTAGCAAGCAGGAGAAAAGCAGGATGAATTCTAGCAAGTAGGATGCATGGTTTTTCCCCCCCCAGTTTTAACAATAAGCCGAAGGCCTCAGATATGGGAGATTTTTCTGCATGTGACTGTTTTTCAGTGTGACCGTTTTTCAGTGATTTGAGGCCATTCTTCAAAACACAGCGTTTGTTAATGAAGAGCAGATTAGGCCAGAAACAGCTCTATAAACAGTAAGTTACAAATGATTTTGCTGTTTTAATGTGATACTCCGCTGAGTGCGTGGCACCCGTTAGCGCCAGTGAGCAGACTGTGCGTCTGAAACGATGAGAAACAATCCAAGAGGTTACCGCTCAGCCGCAAAGGATTTTGAACTGTGCATTGACGTATTTATTTGTTGTTACTATTATTTTTTAGAGGGGATTGCAACACTGCTGGAAGATCAAACTGGTGCAAGGGGCCAATGCGGCGCAGCCCGTGGCCGATACAGGTGGGTCAGGGCCCGGGCACCAAACCCGTGGCGGGGACCCCATGGTGGGGACCCCGTGCAGGGGATGGGTGCCTGGATGTGGAGGAAACGAGGCCTGCCGGGAAAGGGAGCAGTGAAATGTGGCATTAGCCACCCCGCGGCTCCTGCTGCATCCCAACACCTTTGGGATCCACAGAGCCGCTTGTGCACCCGAGTTTCAGCCTAGCCCCAGCTGGAGCCGCTGTTGTCTTCGCGGTATCTGTGCAGCAGGAGCTCCTGCGACTCTGCAGTCAGCGCGGGGCCCTGACAGCGTTTCTGCTCGGGGCAGGACGCCGTTCTCCTCCGGCAACGCCGAGCAGCCCGTGAGGAGGCGCCGGCCATGTCGCACCCGGCCCGAGGAGGCCGGAGGGCCCCGGCACCCGCTCCCACCAGTGCGGGGCCCGTCCTCCTCCATCGGCGGGCAGATGTTGTTCAGAAAGAAAAGAAAGCTCTTTGGAGCTCCATTTTTAATGCAAGACTGACAGGAAACTATCAATTACACTTTTTTTTTTTTTTTTTTTTTTTTTTTTTTTCCGTGTGACACCCCCTCGTTGCGGCAGGCTCTGGGCACAGGCAATTTAACGGCTCCATTCAAGGATGGGAGGGATGAGACCGTGTGACTCGACACATGGATGTAATTTAATAAACGCGGTTCCTCTTTCCTCCCCGCAAACGGAGCAGCCCGCGCGGGCGCGGAACCCTCGGCGCGGCTCCCGTTTCCCGCCGGCAGCGCATGCGCGGCGCCGGGGGGCGGCGCGGCGGGACGGAGCGCGACCATGTGGAGCCGCGGCGCCGTTTGGGGCGGCGGGGCCGGTGTTTGCGGCCTGTTGGCCGCCCGGGGCCGCCTCCTGCTCGCGGGGCCGCCGCGGGGCTGGCGGGCGGCGGGCGCCGAGCGGCCGCCTCGCAGGTACCGGGGCGCGGGGCAGGGCCCGCCTACCGTAACGACGCGGGCTCCCCCCGGGCGCGCGCGCATTGCGAGTGCGCCGCAGGGCGGTGTTTACGGTAGCGCTGCGCCCCGCCAGCGGCGCCCGGGAAAGGGGGCGGGTTCTGCTTTTATTTTATTTTATTTTATTTTATTTTATTTTATTTTATTTTATTTTATTTTATTTTATTTTATTTTATTTGGGCCCAGGGTGGCTTCCTGTGGGCTCCTGAGGGCCGGAGGGGCCGGTCTGAGCGGGGCAGGGCCCCCCTGGCTTGGGCGCCTGGGGCGCCGGTTCTGCCGCCCCCGCTGCTCCTAGTGGAGGTTCCTGGGTCGGTTATAAAGGTTTGGAGAATGTGCACTGGGAAAAACACGTGTTTGGAGGCGGCCTAATGGAGGGCAGTGCTGCAAACCGGCGGGGCAGAGTCATTGAGGTTGGAAGGGGCCTCTAGGGATCATCCATTCCAGCCCCCTGCTCCAGCAGGGACACCCAGAGCACGGGGCACAGGGCGGCATCCAGGCGGGTTTGGGAGATCTCCAGAGAAGGAGACTCCACAGCCTCCCTGGGCAGCCTGTTCCAGGGCTCTGGCACCCTCACTGTCAAGAAATGTTTCCTAAAGTTCCTGTGGAACTTTTGGTGCCTCAGCTTGTGGCCGTTTCCTCTAGTCCTGTCGCTGCCCAGCACTGAAAAGAGGCCACCCCCCTCCTCACTGCCTCCCTTGAGGTATTTATACACGCTGATCAGGTCCCCCCTCAGCCTCCTCTTCTCCAGGCTGAACAGGCCCAGCTCTCTCAGCCTTTGCTCATAGGGCAGATGTTCCAGGCCTCTGATCATCCTGGTAGCCCTGCGCTGGACTCTCTCCAGCAGCTCCACATCCCTCTCAGGCTTGTACTGAGGTTTTTCCTTCAGGTTCTTGTTGCCCTTGGAATTAGCGCCTGGAGCGGGCAGTTTGACACTGTCAGTTAGTTAAGTGCAGAGTGACTGAGGTAATAACCTGGCGCTTGCTGGTTGTGGCAGACTTTTGTTTGTCCCTTGGCCAAGTTAGGGATGTGAATGTGAGGAGGAAGGAAGCGTCAAAATCGCTTCAGACCCGTGGGAATGACATATTCCATTGCAAAATAAACATTCCGTTGTGGGTTTTTTAGCAACCTGAAGATGCTCGTAAAACAAAAAATAGCTTTTGATTGAAATATTCAGACGCTTACCTCTAAAGTGTTGTGGAGAATAGCTGGAGTTTGGTGGCGTGTTTTTCCAGAGAGGGCAGCTGCACCTGCGTCTCAGCAAAATCTTGACCTGCCCTCTCCCATCCTTGGCATCGTATCCCTGCCCATCCCATGGCAGGAGGAACTTCTCTGCGGGGATGTGGTGAACTGGGTGAAGGAGCTGTTCCACATGGAAAAATAGCCAGGATACCTTTTCTGTTTGCCTCAGGGTTGGTTATTTTGCAGCAGGCTCCATTCCTTTATGGCTGCACACATGTTTGGCTGGTATCTTGCAGGGCACAGGGAATGTGAATGGTTGTTTCCTTGGTAGGAATATTTCCCCAAATGTCAGATGACAGACAGAGCAAACAGTGTGGGACTGAAAGGTGTGTGTATGGTCTGGTTGTTGCCAGATCTTTTTTGAAAGGGGTGAGGAGTTGGTTTCTTTGGTGCATGGTTTTAAATACTTAAGTGTTTTTTCTATAGTGCCAGTGAATTTAAGTATCAGGTGCCACTGTGTGTATATATTTAAACTATATAAATATATGTGTATATATATATATTTTAGATACACCTGAGGTGTACTTTACAAAAGTGCATATGACTCACTCAAATTCACATGATTACACAAATTCACATGGTCACAGCCTGTAATCCGGAATAAAGCCAGCAGCCGTAGTAAATACGGGGATTTCAAATTCTCAGTCTGCTGCCTAATGCAGGGCAAATTTTGTTAAGTTTTGTTCATGCTTTAATCGTAGTTTATTTGTGGAGGAAATAAAGTTGCTTTCATGATTTTGTGCAGAGGAAGCCAGAAATGGTTGAGAGTTATAAATATTGCCTGTAGCCCTCCGCAGAGAACAAAAAGTACTTGTTTGAGTTCCTGGTTCAGTTTGTGCATAAGTAAGCCCAGGCAGTTGTAACTAATACTTTTCTGTAAGCTAACAAAATTCGAACTTGGAGCCTTTTTGTGATTTTTTTTTTTTGCTTTTTTCTCTCTATTTCCCCTTTTTTTAAATTTTTTTTTTTACAAAAACTTTTCTGTATTATCTAGCAAAATACAGAAGCTCTTCAGCACCAGCAGCACCGTCCTGTCCACTAAGGAAGATGGTCCGACCCCTTCTGCAGGCAGCCCCCCCAAAACGACGCCGGAGAGTCAGGAGGATTCGGCAGAAACCCCGAAGCAGAAGCTGTTGAACCTCATTGGGAACATGAAGGTGGAAGTGAGCTCCATGAAGAAATTCCAGCAGCTGAGAAAACGTGAGACCAACAGGCAGACTGAGACCCAGCGGGAAGGCCTGGGCAGCAGAGCTAGTGCCCTCCCCAGAGCTGCAGAGGATGCCCAGCGGTAACATGGAACAAATACAGTTCCTATTTACTTTCCTCACTTTCAGGTTGCTTTCATCATTATTGACGAGAAGTTATTAGACACAGAAACGAGTATTTTAGGAGAGTTTAGTATACAAATGTACTTGCAATTAGTCCCAGGGGAGAATCTGGAGGAGAATGTGGTGTGCTTTCTATACTATACTACTTATTCCTACAGGGGGACTCTAGAAAAGTAGCATTGGCAGCTACCCATGCAAAGTTATTTTAATGGGAGGGAAAAAATATTACTGTTCACATGAAATCTAGTAGAATTGAAGAGAGAAGGAAAATGTTCTTTTAAGAACAGCATCAGGGTTGTAGAGTCTTGTGGGTGCTCTCCTGTACAACGCGTGTTGTGTCACGTTTATAGCACTGCAGTCTGTGCCTCTGTGGTCATCTCAGCTTCCCTTCTGAATATTCAGTGGCTTGGGGCTCTTGTTGGCACAGATTTAAGAGCAATAGTTGTCCAGGTCATTTAGCAGCTGGTGAGTAGAGGAACATGGGACAAAATATGGGTTTCCTCCCATCACTGGCAAAAGGTGAAACTGTTATTTATGAATTGTTAGAAGATAAAATGACATGAAATGAAAATGACAGTTTAAGTGCTGGAGATTCTTTTCTTGTGTTTTAATACCTTTTTTTGTCTTTTATAGAAGCAAGTCTTTAAAACGAGAACTAATAGAAGCTGTTTCTGCTGTCGCCTCTTCTTTACCACTCAACAAGAAACAGACAGAGTCTGATTTACTTGCACAACTAAGAAGACATGAAGAAACTACAGATAAACAGAAGAAGGGGGGAACTGTTAACATACGGTGTGTATATCGAATGCTATTCTCAATCATACCCAGTTTTCTGATTTTGTAATTTCAGCTTGAAGAGGATTGGCTTCTCACTTTTTAAAAGACCTTAAAAGATACGTTTGGACAAGTTATCTTTGGAATTGATTATCCTTGTAATGGGGATATCATTGATTTGGTTATACCCTACCCATTTACCTTTAGCATTCTTACTCTAAAATGCTTTTGCAAAAATAGATATTTCTTATTGACCAAGATCCTTGTTTTCTTGGATGGGCTAGCAGAATTACAGAGGGCTTTTTATGGCTTCTCAAGTTGTCTCACAATGGAGGCACTTGTGGACATTTCAGACGTTCTGTCTGGACTGGTGAATTTTCGTGACAGCTTCGCTGAGCTGAAGTAGAGCAAGTCTAAAACCCCACCCTTCCTTTCAAAAATTTCCAGTCAACCCGAGAAACTCATCTCTTGGCTTAATTTCGTTTCCAGTGCGGCTTTCAAACAGATGAGAAACATTTGTTTGGAAGCTGACGCTTGCACGTACTGCTCCTTCTTTTGGAGGGTAGCTAAAGACAGGCTTTTGCTTCCCCATTTAGCTAATATTAGGATAGCTGCTCAGAAAATAAATCGTTACGTCCATATGAAATGTTCAACGGAACAGAAAATCCAGTCTTCAGCAGAATAGAAATGTGTAGCCTTTATTTATGCCCATTTGCAATGTCAAGTTTTAATTTGTGGAGTTTTAATATGTGAAAATTGTTATTTTAGGTTGCTATAGAGGTTAGTAAAGCATTTGTTTTTGCTTTGTATGTCTATTAGTGAACTGCAAATAGAGAACTGCAAGAGTTGGACCTAGCCAGCAAACTAGTTATGTTTGCTGCTGACATCTGCCTTTCAAGTGAGTGAAAACAAGGAAGAGTGTGATGGTTACAGAAAGCTGAGGTGAAAGGGAAGCCCAATGCCTGGTGAATGATAACTTTGATGAACAAAATGCGTGTTCTTGAGAGGTTGTGAAGGGAAAAGGGAGAAGCTGTGCAGGCTTCCTCTGTAGCCCCAGTCATGGTTCTCTGCCAGGAGAGCTAACGGGTGTTCAGGGCAGTGAAGTGAAGCTCTCCCCAGATGTGTGAAGTCTGTGGTATTTAAGCAGGAAGGGAAACAAGATCATATGGTTTTAGGTAATATGCACAAGCCATGCTCTCATCCAAAGGCTATATATATGCTAATTTTTAATAATCCCCTCTTAGTCTGAAAATAAAGGATCTCAGGAAATTGAGATGTTTATCTCCGTGGGTTTTTGGAGCTAAAATGAATAACTTTAAAGAGAGATTAGGGAGCTGACAGGTACAAAAATGTTAGGAGGCACTTCTTAAGAAGAAAAAATAATAATTAAAAAATAAAAAATTAAAGAAATTAAAGAATAAGAAAAAATATACATAATATGTTCATTAAACTCTATTAGTAATTACCAGTGAGATTATGCCATGTAAATCACTGGGGTTTTTAAAAAGAGCAGATGTCTTGGAAGCGATGCAGTCTGTGGATGACCAACTGAAGCGTAACTAGAACCTGTTTCAGTCCCTGGTGAAGTGTCGGGGTCCTGTTAAGACTGATCAAACTGATAAGCGCAGAGCCAGACCTCGTGTGCAGCTGCCCCTGTGCCCACGGTGCTTGTGCTCCTGCAAAGGGGGTTGGTTTGTCCCCAGGCCACAAGGGCTCTCTTTCCTCACCCCCATTGCTCTTCTCCTGAAGCACTGCCCAGCTCTGGCTGCTCTAGGCAGAAGGTGTCTAAGGAAACTGTAAGGGAAGCAGAAAGAGGTTTGTTCCTTTCAAAGAAAGCCTGAATCCTCCAGAAATTGAAAATCTTAAGGCCCCATGTGTTGTGGCTCTGTGTAGTTGCTAGATGGCTTCAGATATGTCATTATAAAGTCCTGTAAGATGCTTGCGGGTGAGTCTGTGGTCAGAAAGAGGTATTTTCATCAGGTAGGTAGCCTGATTGGTCCTCTAGGAATATCATAGCTGGTTTGCTGTGCTTTGCATGGGCAAATATTTCCGTGTTCCCATCTGGGAATGTATGTTAATCCTCATTGTGTACTGAAAAGTTTTGTTTTCATGGTAGTCAGCTAGGTGAGCAATGTGAAACTGTACCAGTGGATGAGCTCTCCAGGAATAGTGGCAAGTCTTGATTTGGGGGCCTGCCAAGTTAGGTCATGGTGACATGTCACAGTGAGACTCTGAGGTGAGTTTCATGCTATCACCTTCCTGCTCAGTGCAAGGAGGGGAAAAAAAAACTCTAAAAAGCATTCCCAGGCAGGCAGGGTTGCCTGGGCATAGCTTTAGCTTCCAAGATGTCAACCTGTGCAAGGGACTGAAATGGTTTTAATATAGTAGAAAATAATCTCCTTTATTCACGCATGGCTATTCTGCCCCTATTTTTGTTTGCCAACAAGGTTATAAGGGCTGGTAAGCTTTTCATTTTCCTTCCAGAGGTTTTACAATTGAAAAAGCCAATATGAGTTCATCCTTTATTCAAAAGTTGAAAATCGACTTAAAAATCTGCCCAACTGTTAGAATCATTTAATGTAACATTCGGGTGCAGCAAATTGGAGCAGTGCTACAGAGGTGTAGGAAGATCTGAAATAAATTACACGTTGTTGGGGTTTTCCCTCTGCATTGAGTTTTTCTGGGATCTGAAGTGTCCTCGAGAGGTCACTCTTGCACCCAGGCTTCTCCCGTGCCTTGTTTTGTAGCAGTTGAGGACAGCGTGTTCAGGAGGAGGGGAAAATATTAATGATACAGGAATTTATTTTTCTCGGTGTGGGATGAAGTTTTGCTCGATGGAAATTACAACAGCAGTATATTAAAATAAAACCAGTGGCACGGCCAGTTGAGATTTCAGCTCCTGTTTTGGGTGAATCAGAAGAAATGGAATCAGAGCTTAAGGCTGCAGCATACCTTAAGCTCCCCCATGTCTTTGTTTTAGTGTTGTGGTTATTGGTTGGTGGTTAGGAAAGAGAGAGAATCCGATTGGTATAAAAGCTCTACATCTTTCCAGAGGCATAAATATTTAGGAACATTTTTAACCTCCTGCTGGGACAGGGGGTAATGACACGCACTGCCCGACCGCTGTAGACGCTGGAGCTGGAGTATGAGTTTGTCATCTGGCATTTTTCATTGCAGACGAGAGTAAAAATATCTCCTTGGTTTTGCTTTTAGTTAATGTAGAAGACGCAAAACTGAACATTCATTGCAAATATGAGCATGTGTAAGAACGTTAACGTTCCTACACCAACCCAGGGCCGACGTCGGGAGGCTTCCATGAGCAGTGAGGTGCTGGTAGCTGCCTGTGCAAATCGCCTGGCAGGGCAGCCTGTCCAGAGGGCAGCGAGACCCACAGCGCAGAGCCCCACATAGCCCAGCTGCAGCATGAGGGGAGCGTCTCGAGGGCAGCTCAGCAGCACTGCGGCCTCCAGGGCTCTGCCAAGCCCGGCTTGGGCTGGGCGCTACGTGACTGCGGCCTAAGGGGTTGTGTTAGCCCAGCCCTCCGAGGCCTCTCGAGTCCCTGGCCTCACAGAAGGCCACTGATGGCAGCAGTCACCTCATAAACATCTTCTAGCATGTAGAGGTGCAGGTAAGTTGGGGGTATTTTTTTCTTTAAGCATAAAAGTCAACGTCAGCTTACTTTTGGGTGCCTTTTTGTTCAGGGCAGATGCCCAAGGAGCAATGCTGTTCTGGTTCTGCCTTTCAAAACCACATCTAAGACTGAAGAGAAAGTCCTCCTGAGTTGCTGTGGTGATTAGTTTTTACAATTTCCAGAAGTATTTATTGGTATTAAAATCTCTTTTGACTTCAGCTGCCAAACGCATAGTTTATAGCTTAGAACATGAGCGTTGCTGTTCTGGATGGCTGCACTTGCCTGACCTGGTAGCAGCTAGAAGAGGGCAGACACAAGGGAAAATAACCAGCTTGGGCTTTGCCAAGTGGCAGACATACAAATTAAAGGGACTAACTGGCTGCAGCAGAGAGGTTTTATATTTTGGCCTTTACGCTCAAAAAGAGCTGCAGACTGCACTGGAAAAGACCAGAGTGTTTGTTCTTTATGTATGATTTTTAACTTCAGAATTGTGAGGGAGGAAGTGGCCCGTTGATGCCACAGTGGAACTGTGCAATGCAGCAGGGGATCAGGAAAAGTGACCTACTTAGCAGGGTGGCACGAGTGACCCGTGTCAGCTGATGTGTGGAGGCAGCTCCACTGCCCTGAGTGGAGTTGGTTCCTGTCCAAAAATTCGTTATTTTAAATCCTTGTTATCTTGTATCCAGAGAAATTCCTCATTTACTTGAGTAAAACATGCCTAATGTATGTGAAATGATAGTTCTCTTTTAGGTAGTAAGTAGATTATTTCAAAGAGAATTTGTTGCAAGTTTAATAGATTCAAATAGTCCTTTTCATTTATATATGTAGAATGTAACCACTGAGTTTGCCTAAGAGGTTGGACTTGCATATCCGATGACTTGGGGAAAAAAAAAGGCTGTGTGTGAGGAATGTCTAATTCTGTTTTATAGGCTTATAAAATAGTTTGGAATAGGGATAGAGAGTAGTTTGCCCTATAAATGCACAAGATAAAACTTCCTGCCTTGTTGTTTTTGTTGATTTTTTTTTTTTTTTTTGCTCATGTTTTTGATTTCAGCAACGTTATTTCAGACATGACAATTAAGAAAGAGTCCCCAGCCCAGAGAGGTGTGAGGGTCTCCAATCTCATTTCTTTGGAGTTCGAAGAGGATGGTAAAAGAATCAAGCCTGAACAACTCGGAACTCAGTCTTCTGACCCAAGAAGGTATTTTCTGTTGTGTTCTCTCCCACGTCCCAGACTATACAAAAACTTACCAAGGGACATTTTAAATTTAGTCACAAGTATTCATGTTACCGTGATTCATGACTCTTCAAAACTTAAAGAACATTTTACCCTTTTTTCCCCCCCAAAAAACTTAACAGCACTGAAATTAAATTGTATGATAACACGTTAGTGTTAACCAGCTAATCAAATAACTTGCACTTTTTGTCAGTAAGTCTTAGATAATTAAAAATGCTCAGTACTGAAATGCAATCTTGTTTTGTTTAACTACATCATCCCTCTGCAAGATGTAATTTTATATCACTTTGGTAACTATTTTTAGATGGAGGCTTTGAAGATTTACTATCACATGATGATGTAAAACTTTAAAAAATGTTCTATTTTCAAAAATACTTCATTTTTTTAGAGGGACTTGCTGCTGTTTTTTTCTGACCAGTATACAAGTTAGTGAAATAAGTTAGTGCTCTTATTTATTTATTTTTTAGCCTTATAAACTATGCTTTCGTGCCTGCATTCCTTTGATTTCCCGTGGCAGTCACATGATTGCCCAGCTTCTCAATGTACTGCTTCTCCAGCAATTCCATTTTCAGTAAGATAACTGCTGTACAAGTGACTTGCACATTGCTTTACTTGGGATTAGGGGTTAGAAACTGAGCTGGTTGGTGTTTAGGTGGGTAATGCTGAAAACAGAATTTGGATATCTAAGAAAAAAATAAAGCAAAAATAAGCATAAAGCTATGGGTGAGCAGAAGTGCAGTGTTCTACCCTCTTCGGTCGAGGTGTCTATTGCAGTACATAGTAGAAATATTATAGAAAGTGTTGTAATTTATTGAAAAAAAATGAAACACAGGCACCCTTAAGCCATATAAATCATGCAGAAGCCCCAAAGAAGTGAACACAGTCATTAGAAGAACTTGACGTGCTTGCTGAAATATTTCTGAGTAACTCCTTTTTCTTGAACTACGTGAATTCTTTGCTTATCCAGTGCATATTATTTTATAAAGAATAAGCTGTAAATAATAAGCTTTATAAAGAATTAAGCTGTAATAAGCTGTTTTTATTCATTAAAATAATGCAAGGTAAAATAAATTTCATTGTATATTTGAGAAGATTTAGTAAATAATTTGTGAAGTCTGAGGAGCTGTCTTGCCTCCTTTGTGTGATGAAGCTGTACTTGGTATATAATTTTAGGAACAGTCCCTGAAAGTTTTTTTTTTTAAATCTCTCTATTCGAGAAACTATCTCCACCTTCAGTCTTTATGATCCTCTTGGAGCTGGGAAGTGGAACAGTTGTGTTTCTTTATTGATTTATATGCAAGTAAATGGTTAAGGAAAATGTAAACATTTTGAAATAGAGTTGGTAGATTTCAAAAAAAAAAAGAAAAGGATAATGTTGCTTTATAGTAATTTGAACTAGTCATTGTTAAAATAGATGTTCTTCCAAGTCAGGCTTGTGTCTTGGGCCAATGTTATAGGGAGTTAGGCTCAGAGATAGGAAAATGTAATCCCGAATCAACATTCTTTTAAGCCTGTGTAATGAGGTTGCTCTATGCTGAAACCAGTCCAAGGTGGTTACATCAGTAAATGTAATATGACAAGAGGAGGTTTTGCAGTAGTAGTTCTGGCCATCAGAAATGTGCAGGAAAAGGAGAGAGGTGAAGTTTAAGGTCAGGAAAGGCACGCGTTGCCAGGGCAGCAGGGAATAAGGCATAATAAAAAGTAGAATCTGTTGGAATGAAAGCCTATGAAACCAGGAAAGGTTATATAGTGACACAGTAGTTTGTTTTACAGTTTGCATTATACAGTCAAGGCATTGCTTTTTTTTTTTTTTTTTTTCGTTTTATTTATATTCAAGTTCAGTCTGTTTAGCTGTTCATCTACTGCCAGGTAGTTGGTAGGGACTCTGCTGAATGTAAATATGATTAAAGAGAGATGGTCAGAATAAAATATCATCACGAAAGCACTGAGGTGATGGTGTTCAAATATATCCTAGAATTGTCCTCTGAGTATTTGCTGTGTGGCAGGGGAGAAAAGATGGCAGGGTAATCTTCCAGAAATGCTATTTATGTAATAAAGCAGAATTGTTTGATTTAGCTGTTGCCTCTTCTTCCTGAATTGTGCAATACAGAAAAAAAGAAATCTCCAAATTCACTTTCTTGCTGCAACTTTGTAAAATTGCTCAAGTACTGTGGTTTCATACTGTTTTACTTCACTCCGACTCTGAGTTACTTTGGTGAAAAGTGACTGCAAATATTACATTTAATTTATGCTCATTCTCACACATTGCAATGTTTAGGGAAGTTGTGTTACAGAGTAATACGTCAACCATAAATACAGCTTAAAAGCCTGAGGATTTAGTGAGAGACACTATCTCACTTTTTTTTTTCCCCAGAGATATGTTAGTTTCATGAGAATATTTTGTGCTTTCTTTTTCTTTTTAATCTGGCAGAATTGTGAAGTATTGTGAAATACTAAATATCATTTTTCTTTTTTTTTTTTTTTTGTTTATAGGAGTCTCAAAGTAGGAAAGAGGCTTAATATTTTCACTAAGACTTCTCCAGATACAGAAAAAGCAGTGACAGCAGGTTAGTGGAAATTCAATAATGAAAAATCCAGAGAAGACAAGTTCTGAACTTTCAGAATATTGGGGCATTCGTGGTTGTAAAGGGGACCTGTGGCCTGTTAACTTTCTGCTTTCATACCTGTAAAAAGGAAAATGGATATTATAATTCTGCTTTGTAATATGCAGAATTCCACATAGTGACAGTGTTTTCTGAAATAATCAGAACACTTTTTTTGAACTTAAAGGTGAAACTGGCTTTTTGTCACTAGATTGGCTGTGTCTTTGGTACATATTAAAACAGTTCGGAGAGTGTGTGTGTAAATAAATACCCTGTGAGGTATTTATTTATTCAAGTTGCAAATTCATTGCAGTTGTTTTACGGCAAAGAAGCACAAAGCTGTAATCCCAGGGAAACAAGTGTGCTCTGGGGCTGGCCAGGCTTAAGCAGCACGGACCCAAACTAGACCATGGACTTGGGTTCTTTGTGACCTTCTTGTATTTACAGAATTAGCCTGAATGTTCCTGTAAAGACTGACCAGCAATGCACCTGTAGAAGAGAATACTTAGACTATAGTACTTATTGGTTTAAGAGTAGGACTTTTAGTTTATGCCAGCTTCTGAGTATTTTTTTTTTCCTTTTTTTTACATTTGAAATTGCAGGGAGAAATGAAAGATTTGCTTAATTTCTTCAGTAAAATGTCAGACCAAGGCTGCTGGCATGTTATTGAGCAGCTGTGTGCTCTCTCATTGCAGGCACTGCCTCTGCAGTGGGCTAGGAAGGCTGCTGACTAGCATGGGATTCAGTCTGTTGTTTTGTAAGACTGTGCATTTCTATAAAATCTGTCCATTCTGCACATAGAGTGAGTGATACAGTGTTCTTCTAGCTGGCTCACCAAGTGTCTTGTTTAAGTAACTGCAGCTTGATTTGAGTCGAATATGCTCTGGTAAAATGTGGAGAATTTGTAACGTTTCATAAGCTGTCTTTCACATGAGCACATGTAAAAGCTATAACACACAGTAGTCCTACTAAATATAAAACTAAGCCTGCAATTTGTGCACATTCCAGATCTGTAAAAAAGTATGAGAGAGCAGGTCGACTTGGAATTATTAATCAGATATCAAGAAAATAATTTATTCCTTTTTTTTTCTGTGACATTGCTATGTCTGATTCCTCTTGGCCTTGAGGGAAGCTATAGTAGACTCTAAGCTAGACATCTTAGTACAAGACTTACTAAGCCTAAACCATATATTTTTTGCCATAATTTCAGGAAATACCAGCATGATACTTAATACTTTGATTCATCTGCCCTCACTTTCTTCTTGGCTAATATAAGTGGAGACCAAGCTGTTGTTTAGAATGACAGAAGAGCAACTTCTGTGTTGTGCATTGAATATTTACTTTGCAAACCAAAATGTTAACTGCAAAATGAGTTGGCACCCAGCAAGTTTTTCATAACTTGCCATGAAATACCATTTATTATCCTCTGTTTCAAAGAGGTGAAAATACAACGTTTATTACCTTGCTCCGAGATTGAAAATGTAAGTTTCTGCAGTCTTGTGTTAGTAGCTTTATGAGTAACAAATTGTTGGAAGATATATTTTAACATGTGGACAATAATTCTGTTCTGGTGTGCTTCCCTTGTCCATTATTTATGTTTTTATTCCTGCCTCCAGCACTCAAAGTTGCTCAGAAATGCAGTTCCGTGCTAAGCAAGAATAATTGGAAAGAGTATTTTCTCATTTGACACACACAAAAATGTGGGTTTTTTCAGCACGCAGAATTTCTCTTTGCCTGTTATTTTGCTTTTTCTTAAAAGGAAGGAAAATTCATTTTTTAATCTGGTTGAAGTCTAGGCCACCGAGCCAAAAGTATAATTATTTCTGAATGTCACATACTTTAGGGTAGTAGAAGAATAGCTGATTAGCCCTGATTCACTTAAAAATGGACTGTAACATTTGAATTCAGCCCAGAACGTCCATCCCTAGGAGTTCAGGAGGAGCTGATGAGGGCAGGAGACAAGACTGCCAGGGGAAGCAGGACTTGGTGCAGCTTCATGCAGCGGCCTGAGGCGTTTCCAGCAGTTCCTCTCTGTCTTGTGGTTCCAACTTGCTGCCTTTATTTTGGTGATAGAGTTCAGGGCTCGTGGGCAGTTCATATCATATAGCTGTGCTGCTATATGAGTACACTTTGAGGAAAAAGTTCTTTCTTAATGTCTATTCCTGTAATTAAAATTCCCTTTAATTCCATCAAGAGAGCTTCATCCCTCAGGGAACTGTTTGACATTGAGAGGGAAATAAATGATTCAGGATTTCTCAAGCCCAAGGGACAAAATTTGGGATATTTATTAGCTTGTGGAAGGAGTTGCCATCATTTATAAATGGTTTATAAATTGAATTGTTTCTCTGAATGAGTGTAGAGGGTGAAAGGACCTAAAAACTCCAGGGGTAAGCAAGATACTTAGAGGAAATAGTGTAGCAGTTAAGCTCCAAGTTTGTTATATGTGCAGTTTGTGGAAGACAAAAAGAGAAAAACAATTGTGAATAATTAAATTCCTGCTCTGGAGGGGAAAAAAAATTAAAAAAAGGTTTTAAAATAAACTGTCCTCTAGCAGTTTAGAACACACTTTCATCAAACACTTGAGAATTTAAGACCTGCATTTCAACAGCGTGAGGGAAGATGATGAGAAAGATGGCACTGACCCTTAGAAGAACTTGCACAATTGAAAGAACCAGTTACTGTAAAGATTAATGTTAAAGTATACGTGTAATTTTAGCCAGTGAGAAATCTTCGGCATGTTGTCAGATGTTTAAAATATATATATTTATATATATATATTTTTTTCTTTCTTAGCATCATCACCAACCATTTGGGATTTGGAATTTGCAAAGGAGATTGCGGCAGTAACTGAGCAGCCTCCCCGAAATGGTTTTGAGGAAATGATCCAGTGGACAAAGGAAGGAATACTGTGGGAATTCCCAATTGACAATGAAGCTGGTACGTGCACTCTTAACACTTAATATCTGGCTCTATTTATGTTTCTGAGAATTGGAGCATGTCATGACCCTTGTCGACTTTAACATAGTATTTCAGCTGCAGATCATGCATTTGACACTTAAATAAATAAATAAATAAACAGAAGAAACTCTCCAGCAGATCAAAGGTGCAGATGATTGCCCAGCCTGGCACACAGGTGAAGTCCTGCAGCAGTTTTGGCTGCTCTGAGGCCTGGCTGGTGCTAAAAAAGGGAGGATTTGACCTCTTTTCACTCCTTGCACTATTTCCCCTCATAATTTTACCCCCCAACAGACCGTTCAGATCTGTTACATAATTCTTTTTACCATGAAACTTCTTTAAGAGAAGCTTCTAGCAGAGGAAGGAGCCTTAAAACTGCTGTGCGTGTTTTGTGGTGCTTTTTCTGTTCCTTGGCGTGGTTCTGAGACAGAGCGGCTCGCGGGACCCTAATCAGCTATCTGCCAGTCCCATATCTGCCCTGGCTGAGTGTTAAGCAGCCATTTGCTTCCTTTGTTCTGTCTGCTTCATAAGGAAAAAAAAAACAAAACAGTTGCACCATTCACTCACTTTGGGCATCTATCTTAACTAGACATCTTTGTGCACCGAATTTGCCTCGTTTTCCATTAAAAAGAGAAAGCTCTGTGTGAAGTTCAGCCAGCAGAAAGAGAGTGTTAGGGATGGGAGGAAGAACGACAGAAAGCAAGCGAATGCTTTAGGAGTGGGGACTTCATAACTTCAAGGAGAGTTTGGCTCTGCATGTGTATTTTTTTAAGCCTTTAAAGACATCAAACAAAACTACTTTAGAACGGTTCAGTCACTGAACACAAAACAGGTTAGCATCTGAAGCTGGGAGTCTTTGCAAATCTGTCATATAGTGAGTTGCAAATTGCATAACGCAGTTCATTGTTTCTTAATGTTGATTCTCATCCTATTTTGGCAGTTCCTGCGTAGAATTTAATCACTGCTCAGAATGGATCTGTTCTGTCCTGCAGAAACCCAAGTACATTCTCACCATGTTTTTGCAAGGCTAAGGCAGTCGGGGCCAGTGGTTTTTGTGTTGCTGTAACGTGCATGGGTTGCTGCCGCCTGGGCAGTGAGTGGAGCCGGTGTCTTTGGTGGCCGGCGGTGCTTCTGCTGCAGCGACACGGCTGGAACCTGCTCTCTGCAATGGGGTGGCCAGGGGACAATGAGTCTTTATAGCTAGACAGGCAAGAATCTGTGGGGATGGGGCCACCAAGGCTGGGCCATTGGAAAACCCAGTGGAGGACTCCAAAATGTCCCACCTCGCAGGTTGAGATATCAAGTCAATGAATTTCCTTCTCTCAAAGTGCCAGTTCTGATAGCAATCAGGTCAGGTGTGTCCAAGTACAGTTAGAAGCCTGAGTCTCTCTGCAGTGAAAGAAGCTTGACTCTCACTACAGTGAATTTAACATGCCATCATTGCAGTAGCTTTGCAAAGAGGGATGCCCCTTCCCATGTTAATTTTACCTTTTTCTACTGGCATCTCCTTCAATAGCAAGGAGAGAGCCATCTTGTTCCACATCAAGAAGCGTTTGCTTGTTCTGTTATCCCGCAAACATATAGCTATAAAAACACTTATACACTTAAATTTTCTCCTGGGGAAGCATATATATCAACTGTTAGCATTATAGCAACCTCAAAACTTTAAAGTGAAATGCAAAAGGCAGAGGGGAGCTGGTACCTGCCCTCGCTGTCACGAGGAGCTTTGCCAAGGCTCTCTGCTCTGAGGCACTACCACAAGGTCGTGATTTAAAAAGTTCTGGCCCTGATGCGAGTGCCTGCAGACGTGGCTAGACTTAGATGTTGGCTTGCAGCAGGGGCCAGCAATGGTCCTGCCCGCCGCCCTGCGTGTTCTTTCCCTCCTCTTGTGCAACTGAGGACACTTCTGGCTGCCCTCCCTCCCCACCACCCCATCTCCCAGATTATTTCTTTACTGCCCTAGCATGAGTGTAGCTTCTGTAGCATCATCCTCTCTCACCCTTCTCTCTGCTTGCCCTCTTCTAGTAGCGCTAGCTCTGCTCCAAGCTCAGCTGTGCCAGGAGGGTGGGGAAAGAAAGGATTTTTGTCTCTTTCCAAAACGATCTCTGTGCCTTTACACAATGATGACTCAAATCCTGAAGAACGTGGTGCTAAAAAAGGACACTGCATGTTGTTGTTGCTGCTCCTCTGCTCTAGCACCTCATTCTGCTGAGAAAATGCTTCTACGGCGTGTGGCAGATTTGATAGGTTTGATGGAAGTCTCAGAAATTTAACATCTGCCTCTGGTAGTTTCTCTAGTCAGAAGTCCCCCGCATCCTGCTCTGGCAGGTGAGCTGCTGTTTCCCAGCAAAGCAGCACTGGAGCATTTACCACAAGGCAGCAAACATTACACAGTCATTTTACATGAGGGTTGTTTTACTAATTTGGGGTCTATTCTAGGCCATAATTTACGTCATTCTGAAAATGCTTGGTTCTCCTTATTGACTCAAAACCCACCGGGCCGCGATGCTGTGCCCCGTGCTCTGGGTGTCCCTGCTGGAGCAGGGGGTTGGACTCGATGATCTCCAGAGGTCCCTTCCAACCTTATTCAGTCTGTGATCCTGTGAGCAAGAGCTTGTCAGCAGGACTCCTTGCGTGTGCAGACATGCACCCTTGGGATGTGCCTCACCTTCTTCATGCGTAAGGCAAGGTTGGCCATCTCTTGAGAAGGTGTCTAGAGAAATTCCTCAACATTTCTGTTTTGCTCGACGTAGGGTATTGGAAAGAGGATATTGAGAGAGGCCTCTCATGCTCTCCTTCATGCTTTGAGGCTGATGAAGAACATCTTCTGCTTTAGATGCCTGTCTGGCACGTTGCTGCCATGCTGAGGACCCTGCCAATGGTCAGGTCTCCTAGTGGGAGAGGTCCTGTCATTCCCTCCCAAGAGAGGGTGAGGGCCAGGCCTGCTCCTGGTCAGCAGCATGGGGCCTGCCTTGCTGGGGACGGGGGATCAGGTGAACGTACCCCAGCATTATTGACATTATTTCAGTAATCTCAATTAGCTCGGTCAGTTTTTCTTCTTGGATTTTCACAGCCAACAGAAATTTGGGAAGGATGTTGCTTGTGAAGGCAGCAGCAATGTCCCGCTACAGTGAGATTCTGCCTCTCTTCCCAGGGAAAGGAAATGTGAGATTTTTGGTGTTGTGATTAAAAGAAGACTCCTGTGCTGGTTTAAGGGGATGTAGGTTTACTACAAGCACAGTAGAAGTAAACCTTGAAGCTGACGTGACCAGTGGTAAGGCGGGAAGCAACCACAAAGGAAAAGGAGAGAGCTTTTAGAAGAAGGAATTTCTTTATTGCTTTGTTTTTCTAGGACAAGGGAGATAAAAGTGATGTATAACTGGCACTGATAGACACTGCACACACTTTGGATACTGCAGCTGTGGGGAAGATAGATGCATTTCTTAGCTCCTTCAAGTCTTGCACTGCCTGCAGCTTCAAACCTAAAAGAAATAGTGAGAACTTGGTGAACAGGACGTGCAAGCTGGGAGATTCCCTGTCCCACTGCTGTGTATCCGAATCTGAAAAAGCTCTAATGTCCTGCAGGGAGCTGGGGACTGAGGTGGCTTCACTAGCTTATGTTTAATATTGCTTTTCTAATGATGGCAAATAATATATATTCAAAAAAAGAAAAAAGTATGTCACATCTGTGACACAGACTTAGCGATTTTTGTGATCTGGAAATGTTCATTTGCAATTTTTTTTTCTTTAATGAAGAAATTTATTTTTATCTGAAGTTGTGAATGTTGTCCACAAATCTTTAACAGATTGTGATCATCTAGGAATTTTCAGATGTCTCTAATTTGCAAAAAAAAAAAAATCTCCATTTGCAAAAAAGAAAAATCTTCTCTTTTGTCAATTGCAAATCTTTTGTTTTTTTAACTCAGAATTGCAAACTGCTAAAGCAGCAGTTTCTCACTTAAGTGAGATTAGTGTTCTGAGTCAAGTCTCTTGACTGCTGCCATCGTGATATGAACAACAGCAAATGAAATCCACAGGCCGGAGAACAAGACGACTATCCTGTGATTGAAGCTCTTGCATGGAAGATCTGTGATAATCCCCTGTGCCGTGTTCCTGTGGAGCTGAATGCTTTTGGATGCAGTGCTTCTTGTGTTGGACTACACTTACAAGTAGCAACTGATGTGATAGACCTCACCTTTAAATCAGCATTCAATTATGGATTCAAAAATTTAAAACCCATTTATTATCTCCCACTAGTTACCTACAAGATGCTAAAAATATTAGTTGCAAGGAAAGTGCCAGCATTTAGGAACTGTTCAATTGCTGTTGTTTTAGGAGGTAGCTTTCTTCATCTAGCCCGTGTTCTTTTGTTCTCTGCAAAATTAAGCAATCAGTATTTTATTAAATAGTTTTTGAAGAAAGCACTGATGAGATATTCCTGATAAGTCAAAGTTTTCTTGCGTTGAGTGAACAAGAAGATGGATTTTGGCATCGGCATTTGATAGGGTTTCCAGACAGAAAGTTGTTGGAAAATTTGTATGTTCTCACAAAGGGGAACACAAAATGGAAGTGACATGAAGAGGATTTGCACAGATTTTTCCTTGTGGAGGGAGATATTAATGTGTCTTAAAACTATGGTAGGTTCTTCCACTCCTGTGTGGCTTCCTTAACTGCAAAAGAGTTAAAAGGTACAGAACTATTTTTGCTAACAACAGGTTTAGCAGCAAGCTATATGTACGTGTGCGTGTGTTTGCGTGTGTGTGTATAGATATATATTTAAGGTCACTGTTACATACTGGTAATGACTTAGTTTTGCCTCCTTTTAGGGATGGAGGATGATGCAGAATTTCATGAACATATTTTTTTGGAGAAACACCTGGAGGACTTCCCCAAGCAAGGACCCATTCGCCACTTCATGGAGCTCGTGATCTGTGGGCTTTCCAAAAACCCCTACCTGACTGTTAAACAGAAGATCGAGCACATTGAGTGGTTTCGGAAGTATTTTGAAGAAAAGCAGGAATTTCTTCAAGGGATTTGAGACTTGAAACTTCCTCACCTTGAACTGAAGAATCTATTAAGGCAAAATTGATAACTTCTTAATAAAAGGAAACACTATCAATGCATAGTAAGCATGTGACCTCCTGAATTTTGTTTTTAATATTAAAATGCTTGAAATGTCATGCTTGTGTGTGTGTGTGTCCATGTATATAGATACTTTTTAGAAACAAAGGACTGCAAGTTGCTGACATGATAGATTGCTCATCTAAAAGTTTAGTTTGTGTATTAAAATCATCGTCAGTTAAACTTGGCACTGATCTTTGACCATCTAGAACGTCTATTAAGTCTGATTGCACTTCCCTTTTGTTTGGTGTTCGTCATACTGTTTCACTGGGAGTAACAGTTTCAGGCACAGTTCTGGATAGATTTGTTCATTTTTCCTTTTTAAGATTTGCAATGCATTTTTTTTTAATGGTATTGCACTAGGTTAGCTAATTTGTAAAGGCTATTTCTGAGATGGTATTCCAAATTAATGTATACACTACTGAATATAATGAATTAGTAAAATACCATCTTCTTTCAGTAATTATCGTGGTCTTACCTGTGCACTGCCCAGGTACGTGCACAGGTGATGCTGGTGAGCTGATTAAAATAACATAAAAATAACGTAAAAATGGCTCATCAGTTCTGAGACTTTTGTCCAGTTTCTGCTCAGGTCTCTGTGTTTGTTACTTAAAAAGGATCCTGGATGTCTCAAGGTCAGTTTGGTTACAAAAAGCAGTTTCATGCTCACTGCAGTGCCTGGAGCTGAGACCTCGTCCCTGCGTCTGCAGGGCTCGGGAGACAAGTTCATGGTGCTGCCGAGAAAGGTGGTCGGAGCCACTGCTCGGGGTTACGTGGCCCCTGTTTTGTGCCAAGTGCTCTGATGTTGAAGTAACTTCAGGTGATCCTCATTTAATAAAGTGTCTATGGCCCTCTGTACCCCTTTGAAACTGCAGTATACTTTGTTTATATTTTCTTTTAATTTTCTTTCAGAATTACCCTGGGCTGTGTCTGGCTTCCTAACTTCTCTGGCCTGTATTTTGCATTCTTTAATCTCTCTGACTTACAGCAACCACTTTATCATCTAGCAGCCCTCTAAATATGACCTTTTCTCACATTTCCTCTTAATCAATGATGCAGGAAGTCATGGCAGGTAAGACTATGGCTTTCTGATTAAAACTTAATTTGCATATGATAATTACAACAAGGCAAAATAAAAATAAAAATGCTCTTTCTCTCTGAGTTAGAGTATTGTTGGAGACAGGAGTTTGCTGCTTAGAACGCCTCAAAATAGGAGAGAAAAGCAGCTTTTAAACTTTTAGCAGCAAGAACATGTGGTAAGGTTCAAGTTTGACAAAAGTATTCAGAGGCTTTCTGCCTTGGAAAGGGAGAGAGTGAGTGTTACCTCCATTTAGTGCCAGAACAGCTTTAATTTTCAGCTCAATTCTCAGACATACATAACCATTGTTCTTCCCAAATTTCTTCAAACTGATGAGCTTGGAACATCCCAAAGGAGAGCCTCCTAAAGGCAGCATACTGCTGGATTTCACATCTTTTTGGAAACAAGGTGCAATGACTGAGTTCACTGTGGACTTTGGGAAACAGCCCCTCAGTGTGTGAGTGTATATTTTATACCGTTTTTTTTTTACATTTAGCCCAGGTTTTACTATGCAGGGCATGACAAGTTCTGCTTGTACTCCAAGATGTTCAGAGGCCTTAGCTGTGTATGCAGGTTTGGGATTTAGGGCTCCTGGCAGCGAGGTGGATGTTCGCTTTGGACTGATTCGGTAGAAGGTCAGTGCTCCAACAAGCTCCTAACAAGAGCTCTTGGTGCTTAGAAATTTTGAAAAGCTGCGGTAATTCCTGCTTAAGTGCTTAAATATAGATTTGAGAGTTAATACTAGGCAACTGGATTTGAATAATCAGGCCTAGCTGCCTATATGTGCATAAGCATATGAGGACTTCTCAACAGAGCTCCGGCCGCGTGGCTTTTCCGTGGTGTTTTTTTGAGCGGGGAGAAGCCGAGGGCTTACTGGTGCACTGCTAGTGCCCAAGCACACGGACACCTGCAGCACGGGTGATGCGTAGGGCACGTGCATGCAGAAGCCACCCGGCTTTTCCAGGGAATTTGCTGCAGCCTCGGGAAGATGGAGCAGGCTGGGCTGGAGCAGAGAATGGCAGCTAATGTGGGATTTTTGAGAGATGGTTTTGGCTTGGAGAGGCAGCCAGGGATAGGTAGGAGGAGGAGAACATTCCTTGCACAGAGGAATAACGCAGCTCTTAGGTTTGCTCACCTGCGTCTGTCCCTACAACATCTTTTTCTCTGCTTTTCCAAGTGCTGATCTCCTCCCAAGGAAAACTGATTACCGTAATTAAGTTAAATTCAAAGCACTTGTTTGCAACTTGCGTTCAGCTGCTTTTAAACTGCGTTAGGCAGAAGCTTGTTGCTTTGGATTCGGGATTGTGTACCAAATGGGCTCTCTGGGGATTTTTGGTTTGCTTGCTTCTGAATTTTTTCCCAAGAATATCAGACATTCCTGCTGCGCACAAGACCGGCTTTGTTCCCCGGCAGAGGCTGCCCGGGTCGCGGCAGCTCCCGCTGCCCTCGTCGTGAGAGCTTCCAGGGGTCTGAAAGGGGCTCGCACGTGCCAGGCCTCCCGGCCCTGCAGGCAATGATGGCATCAGGCTCTGGCCCAAAATGTGTCTTCCCCAGGAGGACACAGCAGGAATGGTTGTATGGCACCATTGCAAGATCTACCTGTGTTTGGGTCTAGCTGTTGGTGTTAGCTCCGACCAGCTCATCATGCCGTGGTCTCGGGTTGGGTTGTGCCTAGCAGAGATTTTGTGCTCTTTGCCTGCAAAGAGGAACTGTGCCATGAGCACTGGAAGAATAAAAAAGGCTGTGGCTTAATTTAACCCTTCTGACCCATCAGAGGTACTAAAATGAAGGTGGTGAAGAGAGAGCGAAAATCCTGAATATGTTCTATGTGTTCAAGCTTTTTTGGCTTAAACGGTGTGTTTTTAGATAAAGAGAAACATTAAGAGAGTCCTGGATGATACTCAGGTCCCTTTTCTTGCAAAGAAAACACAAGGCTTATAAAGTCAACACAATTCCCTGAGAAGGCTCCTCCTTGGAGGCTGCTCTTTGGTGAAAGTTGGTGTACCATGACATTAGTGGAGGGGTTTGGGGGAGGCACTTTTGCTTTCAGAGGTGTGACGCAGAAGTAAACAGCCCCATTTTTAGCTGGGACCGAAAGTGTTGTTCAAGACTCTGCTTCCTTTGGTCTCTGTGGGCGCGGAGTCCTGCTCTTTCAGAGCGAAGGACCTGGTGGCCGCCCCTTTGCCACTTCCACCCCGCGCCCGCTGCGGCCACCTTGCCCTGCGTGGCGACTTGTGAGAGCAAGTGCACAAGGTGCTCAAGGACAAAGCTCCGTGTTGGCATCCCAGGCCCTGCTCATGCGGGTGATCCCAACACGAGCACGGTGGCCATGAGGCACCAGAGCTCCTGTTTTTACGGTGCTGGCGCAACAGGCGCAGGCCCGTTTCGATGCGGCCGCAGGCCTCTCAGTCTCTCAATCTCCACAAGATGTCAGTGTCGATATGCTGGATTAGAAGCAAGATCCATGAGCGGATTAAAGGGAGAACTGTCTGATAGCTGCACAAGGGGCCCGATTGTGCCCCCGAGCACGCTGCCCAAGGAGCAGCGTCACGGCGGGCGCTGGCGGCCATGGTGGAACCGAGCCCCACGGCGCCCCGGCACCGCGCAGGGCCTCGCTGGCAGCGCCCTGACCCTCCTCCTGCTCCTGCCAGATGGGATTTGAGCCTTGTATGCGGAACTTGTGCAACAAAGTGCGCGCGTTTTTGGTTGAAAAGAGAGCTGAAAGCCTGAGCAGAAGGCAGCAGGGCTGATGCGTGTGGAGGGAAGGGGCCCTGTGCGCCTGCACCACGTCGCTTGCTGCAGCACACACTGCCCTGTGCTCGCTTCGCTTCTCGAATATGAAAGGTAGTCTCACAGCACACGCCTTGGACTGGGACACTTTAAGGAAATGGGGGCAGTGTCCCCCAACCCAGCACAGAGTGGAGGTGGCAGGACATGGAGGGGCATGAGTGCCTCCTCATGGCCTCTTCATGGCAGGGTCGACCCACAACAGACAGCAAGGTTCTCTCTGGCAGCCCCTGGTGTTTTCACCCATTTTTTCCATCACAGGAAATTGTGTTGCTAGCTGGCAAGGGGATGGGAGAAGAAAGCGAGGGGTCCCTGCAACCACCATGGAAGAGCAATAGTAGAACAAGCTCCCTGTCTTCCTCCTGGGGCTTAGCTTGGTTGGCAGAAGTTCATCCCAGAGGATCCAACAGAGGACAATGTCTCTTGGGGGCTCTGAGCCCAGAGTTGGTGCTGTAAAGCAGGATGATTTTCAAAGATAACCTTATCTGCTTTTTACAGCTGATTTTTAAATATAATGCTGCCGGATATCCCCCTGGCTGGGGGCACATTGTGTGAGAGAGAAGGTGCAAACAAAGCAGCTGCCTTGTGATTTGAGGGCAAGAGGTTGAGCTTGGTCCTTGGTTAGCAATTACCCACCAAAATCAATGGGGCTCCTCAAGCAGGTCACTGGTTTTGATAGGAAAAAGATTCACTGTGAGCTCAGCCTGACTGAGCTTGCTGGGAAGGGATGTTTATTTAGTTCTTTCCAAGAGAAAACATGGAATTGTAAGCACATAGCAACAGGTAAAAGTTTGGCAGAAATAAATGGGTCTCTTGGATCCCCCCTTCGACTTACTGCATTATATATATATATATGACTGGCACACAGACTACTATCAGCAAATACAAAATTGTTTTTATAAATCCCATCATTCACGTGCATGGCAGTACTAAAACAAATTCTTCTGGCAGCAATACTGAGCACGGCCTGTCTGCACTTGGATCATACCAGTACCTGGCCCTCAAGGGTGAAAACTAGCTTAAAGTTTCCAGTTGCTCCAAAAGGAGAAGTGTCTGCCAGGTAGATCCGGGGTTGGCTGCCTGAGTTAAGCACCATGGAGCTGTGGCTGCTCCCTCTGTGGTTCCTCACTAACCAGATCGACTGAGACCGATAAAGTCTGTCTCAAGAAATGCAAGGCATGAGCCAGTGTCATGTGTGTTGGTGGCTATTTGGATATGGGCAAGGCCACCAGCAACGTTGGATGCCACCAGCTGCCCTGAATCCAGCAAGAGCCACTGTGAATCCTACCAGGACCAGAGAGGAGAGGGGTTTCCTGGTGCTTGGGGAAAGAGGTTCCCCCTCCTGCTGAATTTTTAGCTTCCATTCCCAAAACATCTCCTGCTTCTTAATAAGTGGCTTTTGCATGTGTTTTAAAAGCAATTCATAATTTTCTTCCACTTTGAAAGTTACTCTG